AAAGCAATTTTGAGGCTCAAATCAGATATTGATACGGAAGGGTACTTATTAATAAGATTATAAACTGAAAACCCATTTTACAAAGTTTTCAATAAGAATAGAGCATCAAGAAGAAATAGACCTAAAGTAAACAGAACATAAAGTGGGGTAAGTTATTCTGCATCACTGTTTCTCAACCTTTTTGTGAACTATCACAGACTGGGTGGCTTACACAACAGCAATTTCTCACAGCTCTGGAGGCTGGAAGTCCCAGATCAAAGTGTCAGCAGGGTTGGTTTTTTTCTAAGGCCTCCCTCGTTGGCTTGCAGACAACCGCCTTCTCCCTTTGTATTCAGATGGGCTTTCCACTATGCAGGTCTTTGTCCCAATCTTCTCTTTTTATAAGTTCATTAGTCATATTGTGTTTGGGCTCATCCTAACAACCTCATTTTATCTCTAAGATCCTACCTCCAAATATAGTCACATTCTGAGGTACTAGACTTCAACATATCAATTTGAGGGGAAACACCACCCACTAGGAACATTTTTAGACATATTTTCCTAATAATTGCCCTCCCCAATGAATTTTAAATATCTGTTTTATACTGTTGCCCCTTGGAGGGGAAAAAGGAGACAGATGTAAAACTTTAGACAATAAAAATAAATAAATAAATAATAAATAATAAAACTGTATGTGATACATTCTCTACAGAACATAGAGTTGGGTCTTAGGCAAAGTAGTGCTATGCACTTCTTCTTCTTTTTTTTTATTAATATATTTTATTGATTTTTTTACAAAGAGAAAGGGAGAGAGATAGAGAGCCAGAAACATCGATGAGAGAGAAACATCGACCAGCTGCCCTTTCAGTCCGCAGACCGACGCTCTACCACTGAGCCAAACCAGTTTCTGCGTGTCACTGAAATTCTTGTGTTTAAAGGTATTTTTCAAATAGCAGAGCTCCTAAATGAATGTCAACTCCTTTAGCTGGTCCTCAAACACGGAAACAGCTAGGTAAAAACTGGCTGCTCTGAACCAATGAAAATTGGTGCTTCATCTTCAACATGGCGGCTCCCTAAGGATTTTCCAGAGTAACTGGAAAATCCTTGTGTGTGTTTTGTGCCTTTCCAGCTGGCTTTAATACCTATTCTAGTAAGAGACAACCCCCTTGAAATCTATTTAAAATTCCTTTTTTTGTAATGGGAATATTAATTAAAAAGAGAGGACAAAGGGGCACTGGCATAAGGATAAGCCTATAGGACAATGGAAGGAATGGACAGTCCAGAAATAAACCCTCACCTTTATGGGTCTACAGATTTTCAACAAGGCTGTCAAGACCACTCAGTGAGGGAAAGAACTGTCTGTCCAACAAATGGTGCTGGGACAACTGCATAACCACATGCCAAAGGCTGAAGGTGGAGCCCACCTTACACCATACACAGAATCAACTAACATGGATCAAAGACCTACATGAAAGGATAAAACTGTAATGTTCTTAGAAGGTAACATAGGTATAAGTCTTCATGACCATGGATTATGGGATGGTTTTATTTTTAAAAAAAATAAATAAAATAAAATAAAATAAATTTTAAAAAAAACCACACATATTTTATTGATTTTTTTACAGAGAGGAAGAGAGGGGGATAGAGTTAGAAACATCGATGAGAGAGATACATTGATCAGCTGCCTCCTGCATAGCTCCTACTGGGGATGTGCCCGCACCAAGGTACATGCCCTTGACCGGAATCAAACCTGGGACCCTTCAGTCTGCAAGCTGATGCTCTATCCACTAAGCCAAACTGGTTAGGGCTGGGATGGTTTCTTAAATATGACACCCAAAGCACAAATGATAAAAGAGAAAAAATAAAGTGTACTATGTCACAATTTTAAACTTTGGTGCTTGAAAGTATACCATTAAGAAAGAGGAGACAACTCACAGCATGAAAAAGAGCATTTGTAAGTCATATATCTGTTAAGGAACTTTTGTAACTGGAATATATAGAACTCTTATAAAATATTTTTTTAAAGTAAAACAGCCCTATATAAAATTGGCCAAGGATATTAATAACCATTTCTCCAAGATATATAAATGGCCCATAAGCACATTAAAATATGTTCTACATCATTAGCCATCAGGGAAATGCAAATCAAAATCACACTGAGATACCACTTCACAGCCACTAAAATAGTTACACTCCAAAACACTCATAGTAACAAGTGTTGGCAAGGATGTGGAGAAAACAGAACCCTCATTCACAGCTACTGTTGGTGGGAATACAAAATGGTGGAGCCGCTTTGGAAAAAGGTCTGGCAGATCCTCACATTTTAAACGTACAGCTGTCATATGACCCAGCAATTCCATTCCTAGGAATATATCCAAGAGACTGAACACATACATCCACTCAAGAACTTGTACACATGTTCTCATATAAAAATATAAAATCATGTATCCATCCACTCAAAGTTTTAATGAACATCTTTATGGCACACAAGATAAAAAGTCTGATATATAAAAACAACTTATGAGAATGAAAGTATAAACAGAATAATTTATGTATCTTATCCTGTGGATCTTCGCCAGAGTTCAGACTTTAATTTGGACCCAGATTTCCCAATTCTGCAACTTTTGTTAAGAATTTAAAAAATAAATACAACTTGTCCTACCAGTAATTGTTACTGTCAGGTGGAGGAAAACTATCTAGATTGTCTACTGACAAGTGAAACACAATTTTGGAGAGAATAGCCAAGGTAAATACAACTGAACAAATCCTTCACTGCGGTCACCAAAGACGCTCTGGTATTTCTGAGCCCTTGAAGCAAGAGCACGTCTACCTGAAAAGATACTGGTGACCACGGACGGGCACACATCCCTGCAATCAGTATTCTTCTCACAAGAAATCAATTTTCTCTTTTCCTGGGTTATCTGAGTTCATCCTCGTGCAAAAAAACTCTAGGAAAACAAAAGTCTTATCAAAAGAAATTATGTGATTCTTAGAAGTTGTCCATACAAAAAGGGCTATTGTACTTTTTAATTCTGATAACATTATGAGAGGGATCCAAGTCTAAAGTCTTCTAAAGATCTTTTTACAACAAGGTAATAAATTATTACAAAATGTCACACAGGCCATGCCAGACACAACACAAACGTTTGTTAGCAAGGTGGTGTCGGCAGTAGCCAAGCAAAAAAGATGGTTCTTTCTTATGCCCAAGAACCCAAAGGTTTACACACACACACACACACACACACACACACACACACACACACTACACAACCCCTGCAGCACCTGGTTAGTGTCCTGGGAGAGAACTTCAAAGAGAGTAATGTAGCTAGAGAGGGCAGAAGAGAACTCACGGGCGTTGCTAGAGTGTGGAAATGAGCACAGAATGTGCAAAGGGAGAGAGGGAGGGGAAGGCACTCCATGCAAAGCACACGGGGGGGGGGGGGGGGGGGGGCATGGGATCCAGAGGGACCAATGGCATGCACAGAGGACAAAGGGGCGACTGGAGGCACCCAGCGGAGGGCCATATAAGAAGGCAAGGGGTGAAGAGTTGGGATGGAAATGGAGCTGGAACCAGAAAGCAGAGGGCTTTGGGTGGCAGTCTAAGAACTTTTAGCTAGTTTCCCTTTCTTTCTGTGTAGCTTCAGGGAATTACCGTTGGTTCCTAAATATTTGAATCTCAATTTCCTTATCTGCAAAATGAAAGTTTGGGATTAAGAAATAGCTATTAACTAATAATTACATTCGGTTGTTCACCCATTCTATGTAGAGCTGTATGCTGAGCCTGTGCACACGTTATCACATTAATTAACTCCCTTCTAGTCTCAACCTGCTATGACTATTTGAAAGACTATCTCTCTCTAATTGATTTTAATTCCTCCTCTGATCTGGAATATTCTCTTTTGGAATGAGAAAAGGACTTACGGAATAGCTTCTTTGCTGCTTCAGCAATGCTCTGGCAGCTTGCTATACTCATTCTTTTTTAAAATAGATAGCCGCCTGCGTTTGGCTGTCTCCTTCCCTACTGCCCAGAGCCATAGCTAATTGTCCTGAACCATGATGCCAAGTCCTCAGATGACATCAGCTGTCTCTGAGGGTGAAGAATCCTTCCGTATGTCGGTGACCAGCCTGTGGTCAGATACCAATTATATAAAGGTCTCTTTGGGGGCTGGGAGGAGATGCTGTGGTTGAAATTTTGGATGCATCAATAAAAATTCATTCAGTTCAAGATGGGACTAGGAAGGCAGATTCACGAGATAGGGGATTAGCAGAAAATTTAAAAGTTAAGGTTGAGATGTGAGGCTATACTTGATGAAAAATCTATTGGTGAGTGAATAAAAATAGAGAGAATGGCATCTCAAAGACAGAGAAGACAGGGGGCTTTGTGGTTGTGTTCTCTAATAATAACAGGCCAGGTCTAGGTGTTTATATCAAGAAGGAAAAGAACCCTTGGAAGAAAAGAGCTTCTCTAAGACGAGAGTTTCTGAGGAGGAGGGGAGAAACAAGGTTAACAACTAATAGAAAATTTGGCTTTGAAAAAGGGAAGCTTTCCTCTAGTAGGGGTGTCGAACTCAATCAGAGAAGGGGCCAAAATCTAAAATCCAGCCTAAATCGCGGGCCGAATGGTTTACTGAACAGTCATAAACTGTCATTGTGATGGAAACGCAGCGGAGTGCAGTGATGACAGCGCGGTGCGGGCCACATTGCAAGGCCTGGCGGGACGGATTTGGCCCGAGGGCCTTGTGTTTGACACATGTGCCTAAAGCACTAAAGATGGGCTTCGGTAATGGTTTAGTGAGAGGTGTACGCAAGTGCCTTGCAGCGTGTACTGATCCACTTTAACGTAAGTTCTTGTTATGCAACACCTGCCAAATGTCAACAGAGCAGGCCCCCAAAAATATCCGTTAAAATGACTGAGATCTAGAGAAAATCTAAGTTGGTGAGATAGTTATGGGAACCGAAATGCTTGATGAAGGAAGAGAAGCCTTGGTGCTGACTTTGCTGAAAAAAAGCAAGCGGCTAAGTCAGTGGTCGGCAAACTCATCAGTCAACAGAGCCAAATAGCAAAAGTACAGCGACTGAAATGTCTTTTGAAAGCCAAAAAGCGACTTTTGGGCATGGGCTACGAAGTTTTAATCGCACTATACGTGGGAGCCCGCACGTGGTATTTTGTGGAAGAGCCACACTCAAGAGGCCAAAGAGCCGCATGTGGCTCGAGAGCCGCGGTTTGCTGGCCACTAGGCTGAGTCATCCAGAAATAAAGGTGTATCTGAAGTGTTTGGAAAAGGTTGGAAATAACAGCTTTGAGAATTTTGTTTAAGGAGTGAAGGGCAATAAATATAAAAAGTCATTGTAACTTTTAAATAGTATTTTATTGGAAACCTTTTAATCCTGGCAATAATGATGGTCCAGTGAAGGACAGACAATATAAACGTGTAACAGGACAAGTCACAGGGATGTGCAGGGTGTGGAATAGCCCTGGGTGTTGGGTGGGTCCTGGAGAGGCACCAATGATTATGGAAATGAGTGCTCACGGAGCCTAGGCTGGGCATGGGAGCAGGTAAAACGAGCAGTGGACACTGATACACTGGAAAATCGGGAAGGGGTAAATTACAATGAAGGCAAAAAAGAAAGATTATGACTATGAGCAAATGGCGTGGCTGAAAGACACAAAGACCCTGGTCAGAGAGGGGAGCTACAGTCGGTAGGGCTTGCACCATGAAGTCCACAGGAAGCTGATAGGTGGAGATGAGTCCTATGCGCTCATAGTTCAGCTCATAGTTCAATCAGGAATCCTCACGGTCTCCACCCGTTAAACAATGCAGACGTATTTAGAGATGTTAGATGAAATACGATCTGCCAAGGGCAGGGTCTGGAAGTTTCACCCTACTGAAAAGGGTAAGTCCTTACTTATTTTTTCTCTTGTCGCAAGGATGGTGGTGGGAATGGAATTAACTATTCTTAGTTCTGAGACAGGTGCTAACGCATTCTTGGTAGCTGAAGAAAGGAGGCCAAAAAATACTACAAGGCTCTACAACCTGAGGCCAGGGCCAGAAGTGGCTCATTTCATTTACACTGAAACATTACTCAGTGCGGTCAACTCCGAACTATCCTGAGGAAATACTTGTTTCCTATTACCTTCCTAAAAATACTAGTTCTCTAACCAATCAAATGCAAATACCATAGTTTGAGAAACAATTTATAAATATTAATAAGATTGCACAAAAACGAAGTCATATGTATACATATGCACACACATTTATGCACATAAGAAATTCAGTAGCTATAAAATTATCCCAGCAGAGCAGCTTTGCAATGTTATTATTCCACTAACTAAAAATAAGGAGTCAACTGTATCTGATAACAACTCTTGTTCTTTTATAAGAAGACAAAAGTTCCCTCCAGTTCTATTTTGTCTGAACCTATTAATTCAATTCTGGGGCCATGAAATTTATCCATTCTTCAGAACTGAGATGGTATACTGTGAATGAGAAGGGGATTAAAAGTTCTATTTTTTTACTTTATATCAACCTATATGTCAATGATAATTCCACAGCTCACTACACTTGGCCTTGATATACACAAAAGTGGGATCTCCTATGCACCCTTAACAATTAAAGACAGAATTGTAGAAGTTAGTATCTTTGCACCTCTGTAGAGATATGTCAGAAAACATCACCATTTCTAAACTTCTTAGCCCCTTTCATTCTCCAAAGATTTTGTTCTGTGTTGGTTTGATTGTACTTACTGGAATTAAAGACAAAGGACCACATACTAAGAACTTATGCTATGCCCTCGTACTGTTCCTCCATCTACCACTTTGTAAATATGATTTCCTGAAAATACGCATTGCAAGTTTTCTGCTTACTTACTCAGCTTCATATATTACCACAAAGTAGTATTTGCCAGACAGCGAGAGCCAGTAAGTATACATTGGTGCTTTCTTCCCATTGTGCTTAAGTACGGGTTTGGGGAGAGTAGTAAAGGCAATTTTCATCAACTTGACAGTGAAAACCATAAACACACCATGGAAGTTTCAAGCTGTAAACAAACAATGACAATTCTGGTCAAAAAGGCAGATTTCTTGAGAAAGTTGGATACAGTAGATGCGAACATAAGACTTACAATGAAAACCATGCTGTAGATGGAACTGAAATGCATAATCCCATCCCCAAAAGAACCAAGAGAAACAGCTTATCTGGTTACTCAATGGATCAGTATGTAGCTCCTCTCACCAACATAAACTATGGGCACCTCAGGTCAAATGTATAATTCGCAAAATGTGTCATTAGTGCAAAAGGAGATGTAGCAGGGAGGAGCAGGTGAATAGCAGTGCCGAATCAACGTGGATAGAGATGTACAAGAAAAAGAGAGTGTGGCCATTATCAGCAAAGCTTGGGAAACAACATGGAGGAGAAATACAGAAATAACCGATACCTGACTCCTCTCTGTCAGACGCCCTGACTGTGGTTTCTCAGGATTTCTCAGGTTTCTCAGGATTCACCGGCTTCCCAGAAGGGGCACATATCAACTCTCAGGGAAGCTGAAATCAGACTGTAACTAAGAAACTTAGGTCATCTTGTCTTTTCAAGAGAGTGAAAAGACAACCTAGAGTAGTGTTTCCAAAACTTTTGACATATGTGTACCCCTTCTATAATTTTCGTAACACTGAGTACCCCCCGTACTCATGAGAACGTAGAATTAGGCGCAGCTAAGCACGGTTCAGTGCATATCCCCACCAAACTCCGGTGCAACGCGTACCCCCACCAAACTCTTCCCGTACCCCTGGGGGTACACGTACCACACTTTGGGAAACACTGACCTAGAGAATGAGAGAAAATATTACAAGTCATATATCTGGTAATATATAAGAATTATATATTATACTAGAAGCCCGGTGCTTGAAACTTGTGCACTGGGGTCGTGGGGTAGGGGGAGTCTCTCAGTCTGGCCTGTGCCAGCTCACAGTCTGGGACCCCTTGGGGGATGAAGCAGTGTGCCAAGGCGGCCAGGGAGGAGCCAAATCGCACCAAGCTTGTGCTTATCCCAACCCACCGCGCCTGCTGCCTCGGAGTAGGGAGAGGTACTGCATGGCAGCTGCGCTCACCAGCCATGATGTTTTGCTCTTTCTGTCTCTCCTCCTCCCTTTGACTCTCTCTAATCATCCATGGGAAAATACCTAGTGGTGAGGATTAACAATAATAACAAAAAGAGATATATAGAGAGAAGATGCAAATGACTATAATCAGAAATGAAAATGGGAATATAACTATTGATTCTACAGAAATAAAAAAGAGAAATATGAGAGTACTATGAGCAATTATATGCCAAAAAATTGGATAGCCTAGATCAATGGTCAGCAAACTCATTAGTCAACAGAACCAAATATCAAATTTTTTTTAACTTAAACTTCTTCTAACACCACTTCTTCAAAATAGACTCGCCCAGGCCGTGGTATTTTGTGGAAGAGCCACACTCAAAAGGCCAAAGAGCTGCGTGTGGCTTGAGAGCCGCAGTTTGCTGACTATGGGCCTAAATGAACTGAACAAATTCCTTGAAACAGAAAACCTACCAAAATTAAATCACAAAGAGCCCTTACCCGGTTTTGCTCAGTAGATAGAGCGTCAGCCTGCAGACTCAAGGGTCCCAGGTTCGATTCTGATCAAGGGCATGTACCTTGGTTGTGGGCACATACCCAGTAGGGAGTGTGCAGGAGGCAGCTGATCGACGTTTCTAACTATCCCTCTGCCTTCTTCTCTGTGAAAAATCAACAAAAGGTATTTCTAAAAATTAAATCACAAAGAAATGAAAAATAGAAAATCTGAATAGACCCATAACAAGAAAATAGTATCAGTGATAAAAAAAAAAAAAATCTCCCAATGACAGCTTCACTAGTGAATTCTACTAAACATTTAAAGAAGAACTAATAGCAATTCTCAAACTTTTCTAAAACAACAACAACAACAAAAATTGAAGAGGGAACACTTCCTAACTCATGATGGAGGCCAACATAACACATACCAGAGGGAGACAAAAACACTATAAGAAAAGGAAACTACAGGTCAATCTCTCTTAGAAACAATGATATAAAAATACTCAGCAAAGTTCCAGCAAACAGAATTCAGCAGCATATTAAAGGGATTATATACCATGACCAAGTGGAATTTATTCCTAGAATCCAATGATTGTTCAACACATGAAAACTGATCAGCCAAATGAAGGGGAAAATACCCCATAATCTCAATCCCTCCATGCCTCGCCCCCTCCACTCTCCCTCCTTCCTTCCCTTCAGCTCTATATTCAAATAACTAAATATTTTGAGTAAGACAGATGCATGAGGGAATTATAATGAGAATGTAGGTTTGTTTTTTTTTTAATATATTTTATTGATTTTTAACAGAGAGAAAGGGGGAGAGATAGAGAGCTAGAAATGTCGATGAGAGAGAAACATCGACCAGCTGCCTCCTGCACACCCCCTACGGGGGTTGTGCCCGCAACCAAGGTACATGCCCTTGACCGGAATCGAACCTGGGATCTTTCAATCCGCAGACCGACGCTCTACCACTGAGCCAAACCGGCTTCGGCGAGAATGTAGTTTTTAAAAGATAAATCATATAAACAGGACTGGCAAAACGAGGTGATCGAGAGCAGGGATTATAAACAACCAGAAGGCAGAGCCAAAGACCCATGAGGAATTGCTGTCTTCAGTAACAGGGAAAACGAAGAAAGAACAAAAATACATCTGTAACCCCCAAATATGTAAGTCACTCCGTTAGATAGCCACTCCTTGCAAGAACCTTAAAGGATAGGATGGTTTAAATAATTCAGGCGAGGCCAGCCTCACTGGCTGTGAACTATCAGGCCAGGCAACAAAGCAGCGTGGCTTGGATTCCATGCCAGCGTAAGGTCAGGGATCACATCGTAACTATCTCTAAATGTACAGTCTTCCACTCTCGCCTCCCAGCCTGCAGACACAATTTGTGAGAAACCCTTTACTGAACGGCCCTCAATAAACGGTTGGTCCAGATCTCCCAACCTAATACCTCATGTAAAGAACAGTCATTTTTAGGCACAGTCTCCTGCTGATTACCGCCTCCAAGAAAAAGTTCAGAGCCAAAGAAGAATGTTTACATTCTTCAATCTTTCACTTGCTTTGACAAGAATCATCTATAAACCAAATTTTAATACCCCAGGAAAGACCCAGCTTAATAAGACTCTTTTGAAAAGCCATAAAGCCACTGTTATGATTTTAACTGGCAGACAAGGTCTCCTAAGATGCATTCCAACTCTAATTAAAGCAGCGCTCTCCCAGAGCTCCCACTTAATTTTAATTTATATTAAAATAACGTAGACGTGCTATTCACTATATTCAGCCACTGCCTGAAATCTGGTTGGTTAAACATTAGCCTCCCCCGCAAAACCCACAAAGGTTGGAGACGGATAATGCGCCGAGGGAGACAGGCAGGGTCCAGACCACCAAAGAAATTATTTTTTAAAATGAGATTCTGCTGCACTTAGCCAAGCTGAGTTTAAAAGGTGGAGTGCTAAAAAGCATTCTTCTGCCCATCAATTACCATATTGGTGGAACGAAATGGAACTGTAAGGACAGCATCTATGTGGAAATCGATTTAAATAAATATAGAAGACGTTGCTCCTATAGCCTTTCACTTAATTATAACTATGATTTGAGATCTAGAAGAGATTCCAAATATTCCCGTGGCTTCTTCCACTGCATTCAAAGTTCTCTGGGCTAAACTATCCGAACAGCACCACTTTTTACTGCACTCGCTACGCTTTACTTTCCCTACAGCACTTCTCACGACCTGACATTCTATTCTACACGTATTTGTTTACTGTTTATTGTCTATCTCTCCCACCAGAATATCATC